TAGTAGAGACGGGGTTTCACCATGTTGACCAGGATGGTCTCGATCTCTTGACCTCGTGATCCACCCGCCTCGGCCTCCCAAAGTGCTGGGATTACAGGCGTGAGCCACCGCGCCTGGCCCTCTTTCCTTTCCTTTCTTTTTCTTTTAAGACGGAGTCTCGCTCTGTCACCCAGGCTGGAGAGCAGTGGTGCAATCTCGGCTCACTGCAAGCTCTGCTCCCCGGGTTCAAGCGATTCTCCTGTGTTGACCTCCTGAATAGCTGGGATTACAGGCACGTGCCAACACTCCTGGTTAATTTTTGTATTTTTAGTAGAGACGGGGTTTCACCATGTCGTCCTGGCTGGTCTCAAACTCCTGACCTCAAGTGACCCCCGCCACCTCGGCCTCCCAGAGTGCTGGGATCACAGGCGTGAACCCCTGCACCCGGTCCTCACGGCTTTCTAAGTGCCGCCGGGACACCAGGCGCTGCACCAGGCACGGGTGACAGCAAACCGGGTTGGCTGTGGACCCAGGAGCTCGGAACCCCACAGCAGAGTGGTCAGGGCCGGGCAGGTGTGAACAGGATGATAAAGGGTAGGGGCAGATCTGCCTGGCCGCGTAAGGGGCAGTGGGCCCCGGTGAAACCTGGGCTTGGAGGATAACAGAGCAGGGGCCCCCCGCCCAGGTCCCAGGTCTGGATTCCTCTGTTCCCAGCACGGGAGGGGTTAACTCGGAGGCTGCTGGGCAGTGCGGGCCGGGGGGCCCACAGCCCTCCTCCCCCTCCTCCTCTTTCCCTTCCGGGCGGCTGGCAGTGGCAAGTCTGGGGCTTGTGTTTATAGAAGCCAAGGGAGGGGTGGGTGGAGGCTGGGACACAGCGGCCCCTGCAACGGCCCCCGCCACAGCCCCAAGTGCGGGGACAGAGCCCTCCGCCCCACCCCTTCCTGCCTCTGTGAGCCCGGAGGCCTCCTCCCCCATCTGAACAGTGGGGACGGGAGCTACTCCCTGTAATAGAGGAGTGTGCAGGGGGTCGGAGCAGCCCCCACCCGGCTGCAGATGCTCCCAGGACCCCGTCTGGCCATCCAGGGCATCTGGTCGCTCCAAGCCGGGGTGAGGCCTGGGAATGGCCGCTGGGGACACCCCAGCCACCCTCTGTCATCTTTGAGCCTGTCTTGTGCCCTGGCCTCAGTTTCCCCACCTGGACACCAGCCCAGACCTGCCTTTGGAGGGTCCCTCCTCCACATGCCTGGTCCCCAGGCTGTTCTCAAGGCCTCGGCCATAAGACGCTCCCAGGCCAGGAGACACCGGGGCAGGGCTGGTATACCGTCGGTGCCCAATAAGTGTGCTCAGTAAACAGCCTCCCTGCACTCAGCACGTCTCAGGTACCTGCTGGCCACTGAGTGTTGGGCAGGAACTGTTTGTATCAACCTCCACCTCCCGGGGTTCAAGTGATTCTCCCGCCTCAGCCTCCTGAGGAGCTGGGACTGCAGGTGCCGCCACCACGCCCCGCCAATTTTTTGTACTTTTAGTGGAGACGGGGTTTCACCGTGTTGGCCACGATGGTCTCACACTCCTGACCTCGTGATCCTTCCGTCTCGGCCTCCCAAAGTGCTGGGATTACAGGCGTGAGCCACCGCGCACAGTCATTTGTGGCCCATTTTTACAGGTGGGGAAACTGAGGCCCTGGTGGGAGGAGGGGAGGGGCCAGGACTCAAAGGTCGAATCGGCGGCCACAAGCTCATCAGACTCTAAGCCACCTTGTGGAGGGGGATTGGGGCCCAGGTGGCCACCCAGACCTGACCCCATTCCCCAAGCACAGAGGGGGCACCACTCCCCCAGTACTCAGGAGTGGAGACCCCCACTTCACTGCAGGCTGGGTGCCAAAGAGATGACCTGGACTGTCTGTTCCGTGTTGGGGCCCTGAGACCCCCCCACCAAGGGACCTGCCGCTTAGACTCACAGCCAGGCCTCCTGCATCAGCCCCCCCATGGCAGGCTGTTTCCCCCCAAGACACCCCTGAAGTTCCTCCTGATTCGAGAGCCCGGGATGCCTCCAGCCATGGGGACCTTGCTACCCCGCAACATACCTGGAGCCAGCAGGGGCCCTCCTCCGGCCCGTTTCTGGGCCTTCCCTCCAGGGGGGTGGGGGCAGGGGGCTCACCTCGCTTCTGCATGAAGCTGAACAAGTCATCCAGGAATTCCTTCCTCTTGGGGTCCCCGTCAAGTTCATAGAGCTGTGAGGGCAGAGAGGGGACCGGTCAGTCAGCGCCAGAGCTCCGGCGTGGGAAGCCCGTCCCCGCTGCACTGGAGGCCGGGCCGGGACAGCAGCAGGGGTCGCCGCCTCTGAACGGCTCCATTGAGTCGCTGCCAGAGCCGTAGCGGAGCTGGGCAGGTGAAGAACACGGGCCGAGAGACAGGTGTGTGGGGGAACGAGCTTCCTGGGGCGGCAGCAAGGAGGCACCAGAAGCCGGTGGCCTGGGACGGCAGGCGGGACCCTCTCCTGGCCCTGGGGCCCCGAAACCCCAGATCAAGGTGGTCCCCAGCTGGTGGCCGCAGCGCCCCAGTCTCTGCCTCTGTCTCCATGAGACCCTCTCCCCGTTTCTCCCAAGACACCAGCTTGCTGGTTTTAGGGACACCTCACGCCAAATTGATCCTTAGTTCCCTATAGCTTAAAGAAATCTATTCTCCCACAGTCCTGGGGCCCGGAAATCCAAAATCAGCATCTCTGCAGGGTGGTGGCTCACGCCTGTAATCCCAGCGCTTTGGGAGGCCGAGGCGGGTGGATCACGAGGTCAAGAGATCGAGACCATCCTGGTCAACACGGTGAAACCCCGTCTCTACTAAAAATACAAAAATTAGCTGGGCATGGTG